GTCCAGAAACAAGTAAATCAACTAAAAATCAAACAGAGGATACTCTCTAGACTAGAGTGGTTATCATGCTTAAACAGATGATATATACACAAAATCAAGACGCTGAGACCTGAGAGTGAGACACAGTAACTCTGTCACAAGAGGAATCTGGAGTTTGGGTTGGTTGTTTCTGAATGATACCAAATTTTATATTCTTTAAAACTCTGCCTTCTTTACATTGCACGTCCAAACAAACTTTTCATTGTTAACCCACAATTACACAGTTTTTTTATTTATTTAGCAACACATGTGAAAAAGCTGGCGATTATGGATATATGCCTTTGCTTATTATCATACAAGAATCTGCGAGCTATGGTTTAGAAACTAAGACGCTAAATGGAGTTTTTGGGTTTCCATAATAAAAAAAAAAGAGAGGATACAAATGAGAATCTAGTGGTATCTAGAAAGAAGATATAATAAGAACACACATCACAGCAGAAACCTGAGTTTTTACTCTGTTTCAAGTTTGTCTCGGTGTTTGCAACGCAATGTGTCTATCTTCGCCATTACGTTTTTTTCTCTGGATCTAGCTCCTCTAGCCAGAGTGTAGCTGCAGCAACTCAAATACCAAAACATAAATCAAAAGCTGAGCCACATAACAACAGTCAGAAATAATGTGAGCAACTCTTAATGTACTGCATATAAACACTTATCACTATAACAAGTAAAAAGGTCTCAACCTTTTCGGAGTATTGTTAACTTGAAGCATGGTGGTGACTGGATAACTGTTGTCATTGAAATGGGGATCTCTTATCCGTCGGCTTTAGAATTTGGAACGAGCACATTAAGCTCTCATCAATGCTCATCATTGCGCCAGCATTGTCAAACTCTCCGCAATAGTTGGGAGCTGAAAACACAGTAACAACCTGTCTTTCTGCAAAGAACTCATACCCATCTTCAACAACCTAAAACACACACAAGAGCATGAAAACACACTCAGAGTAAGCTTAGACAGTTTTGTAACTAAAAGACAGAGATTAACAACAACCTGGTGGGCACGACAGATAAGGTCCATGTCATTTTTCTGCAAAAACTCTGCAACTGTGTCAGCTCCAAAGGTAAACGAAACACCACGGTCGTTCACTCCCCAGCCTTTGACGTCTCCACTAGGATCCGACCAAAGTAAATCACAAACCAAACCCGAGTCAGGAATATCCATGGGGCGTGAAATGCTCCTGATCTGGTCCAAGCTTGTCAGCTCTGGGGAGATCCCACCATGCATGCATAGTATTCTATCATCAATTAAGGCCGCCACGGGGAGACAATTAAAGCAATCAGTGAATATTTTCCAGAGCCTGACGTTGAACCTGCGTTTGCACTCGTCGTAGAAGCCGTAGATACGGTTAATGGAGGCACATTCGTGGTTCCCTCTTAACAAGAAGAAGTTCTCAGGGTACTTGATTTTGTAAGCTAGGAGTAGGCATATCGTTTCCAGGCTTTGCTTGCCACGGTCGACGTAGTCACCTAGGAACAAATAATTGGCGTCAGGAGGGAAGCCTCCATACTCAAAGAGCCTCAACAGGTCTGAGTACTGCCCATGAATATCACCTGTAAAAGTAAAGATACACATGTTAAGAAAGAAAAAAAAATGAAGGCGAAACCAAAAGTCTGTGCGGCTAAGAATAATTTACATGACTGAGACAACAACTATAATCTAGAAAGAAATGAAAACTTATAGAATGGTGAATAACACCAGCGAGCTTAAGCAAGATTTTTGCAGGAAGCGTTAATATGAGAACCAATCAAAACCCATAACTTAACAAGTCAAAATTTACAAAAATCAAACTTCATAAGAATGAGTCAAAACTCTCACAACCCCATTGAAGAATTGCACTGTAAAATTTCAATAAAAATCAATATCTTAACTACTAAAAGTTATTATAAAGGATCAACCCTCATACGAATATCTCTAAACTCTTAAATCATAAGAACATGCAGTAAAAAAATTCCACCTTTTACCACCCATTCGCTTGAATTTTATAGTTCTGAACTCAAAAGACCGTTTTCATCAAAAGGGTCAAAACAACATTAATGCTCGAATTTACAGTCTAAAAACTACAAGTTCTGACCTACTTAAAGCTGGCAAAGACCTATCTTTCAAGAGAGCTCAGCTCATGACTACTGAACACATCTAAAGACTAATGAGCCTAAAAGGATACATAAATCTCAACATGCACTAAATAACATAAAAAAGAACCAAAATTAAAATATTAAAAAAAAAACACATTTTTGGGCAAAGAGAGAGAGAATCAGACCGCAGATCTTGATGGGAGCTTCGAGTTCGAGGAGAATGGGTTGTTGAAGAAAGATGTCTTTGGAGACAGCACATAGCTGTCGGATTTCGCCTTCGCTGAGGTGAACTTGCTTCCCGGATCCAGGCCTCGTGTTCCGAAACTCAACCAATCTCCGGATTATATCGTCAAGAACCGCCGGTTCCATCGCTCGCTTCTGCTCCTGCTCCTGCGCCGCCTTCTCCGCCATCTCCGATTACTGCGAGCCTCTTAAAGTGTGAAGCTCTTTTGCCTTCGGCGTTCGAGCCGCGAGGAGAGAGAGAGAGAGAGAGACGAGACGACCGGTTCTGTCAGATGAGTCAGTTTGATTTGATTGGTTCGTTTTTTTTGTTATTATTGTGAGTCACACTCTTTATTGTTACGAGCCAAGAGTGTTTTTGAGTCGACCTAATGGGCCTTTTCATGATCTTTTTTATTGAGCCTAATATCTGGGCTTTACTCTTAAGGATTCAGTCTATTACGCAAATATTTTTTTAGCTTTGCTAGTTGCTAACTATTTGCCTCAAATTTGAATTACTACATGAACGAAAGAAAGAGGATAAAAATTTGTGTTCAACAAGAAATTCTCCAATTAGTGTGTCCAGAAATAAGCTGATTTTCTTTTGTACTTTATGATTTTACTTTATTTTATTAATTTTGCACCTCTCATTTGATTATATATCAATTAGTTCCTTTAACTACAGTAAAACCCACAAAATACAAATAAATGAGAGTTAATCTAGTAATTAAGAGATAAATAAGACCCCTGTTTTCATGTAGTGAACTTTGACATCCAATTTGTAACTACTTTTCCTTTCATTTGTCTCATTCACTAGCAAAGTACCTTTTCTCTAAATCAAATATTTTGGAATCCAGTCAAAACTCGTCGTCATTCTTATAGCAATTTAGAATTGGGCAGATTATCCACCACTCTTTTGGTTGTTTAAGTATGGAATTGACGATTTTAGTACGAACATAACAATACTTTCATTTAGAAAAATCCAAAGTTCTTCTGTCTTCATTCATTATTATTTTATGGTTTATATATATATTCCTCAACTTGTGGAATTGGTAAAAAAAAAACTTGTGGAACTGGAAAATGAGATAATGTTCCTACAGCCAGAAGGATCACTTTCTCTTATTTGCATAGAAAAAAATATTAAGACACACACAACACAAAGTATGGCTCAAGCGTGTGGTTGATAGGAGAAACCATTGACAGTGAGACCTCCATCAACACAAATGGTCTGACCAGTAATATATGAAGCTGCAGGTAGACACAAAAAAGCCACAAGTGATGCAACCTCTTTTGGCTCTCCAGCGCGACCAAGTGGAGTTCTACTAAACAAACTCTTCCTGTAACAAGCGTCTCCAAGAACCTGATATTATTCACAAGATTATAGGTAATAAGAATGATAAGTACAAACTGTTAACTGGAAAACTGGAGGGTGTTAATTATTCGTTACAGGTGCAGTCATCTCAGTGACGATAAAATTAGGAGCAACAGAGTTGGTTCTAATGCCATCAGCTGCCCATTCACACGCCAAACTTCGTGCTAGTTGATTCATAGCTCCTATACATACACACAAAGAAAAAGACATATGTAGTTAGCTGTTGGAAATAGGTTATGGGCAAAGATTTATGATCCATCAAGATAATTAAATAGCTTTGAACTCATCCTATACGAAGAGATGCCTCTTTTTGTATATGTTACACAACATGAATGAATACACTTATATAATTATTGTATTTACTGTGTTAGAATCTTATTTCGATGAAGACGAGATTTAAGATAGTAGTATAATACACACACACACATATTTATATATATATGTATCAAATATATGTAAAAATGAATTAAAAAAATGTATATGTAAAAAAAGATATATATAAAAATATATATGTATATAGAAAAAATCACGCCAGCTTTGAATTTTGAAACATAACACTAGACCAACTTATTAACGTACATCAACAACATTAACCTTAAAGAAATTCACAATATTAATGTGTCTATTGTGTATTGGTTAATTTTCCATTGGTGTACCTTTCGATAAACCATAGAGGGATCCGCATTCCATTGATACAACCCCTCCAACAGAAGAATTCATGACAATGCTTCCAAATCCAGAAGCCTTTAAAAGAGGATGTGAAAGCTGGCTAAGATGATAAGCTGATTCCAAGTTTGTTGAAATGTGGAACGAGAAATCTTCTTCCAGGTATTCTGTTGTTGGTTTAAGGCGAATTCCGCCAACGTTATTCACCTATTTAAACAAAAAAATTAAGAACCAAAAAAAAATCTTACAATCTATGCCACTACTTAGTAGGTATTTTTCTCATAAGAATATGCTAACTTTTAAAAGTAAAGATTAGCTTACAAGAATGTTCAGCTTGCCATTGAACATCTTTGACACGGTTTGCATCAGTGTTTCTCTCTCGGGACGAGAGGATACATCACATATTGAACCGCTCACTTGAAACCCTTTCTTTTCCCATTCGCTTAAACTTTTACTGAGCAGTGTTTCGGATATGTCGCATACATGGATTCTAGCTCCAAAACTAGCTAACTCTTCGACTATGGCATGCCTAAAACAGTCCACAATGTAACAAAAAGTTATCGACAGTACATTGAAAAACGGGCTTTAGCTATGGGAAAAGATATGATATAGCTAGAGAGTAGAAAAAACGAACCCGATTCCGCTGGCTCCACCAGTTACAAGAGCAGTCATGTCATGAAGACTCCATCTTTTATCCATTTTTGGTTTTGAATGTGAGTAGGAATGATACAATGCCAAATAACATTTATAGAGGCAAAGTATATCAAATATACGTAGGTGATGACGTTTTGGAGAAGTGGAAACATAAACGTTATTTAAAAAAATAATGTAACTGATTTTTTTAGCTATAATAGCAACTGGTATAAAATTAAGTAATATGCAAAAATACATAATTTTTTAAAAATATTAGTTTGGTTGATTTTGGTGTGATCAGTTGCGTTTCTTTTATTAATTTGGTTGAGAACAAGTGTTGAGTATCCTAATTAAATTGGCTGTAATTATAAACTTTCAAGTGCTAGAGTTTCTTCTTTTAGTTGTGTCTTTTCCTAATATTTTTCTCTTCCTAATATTCTGGTTGATCCACGTTTTAGTTTTCTATATTACTCTGGCCTGGCTGTCGATCTTGGACTAGATCCAGTCTTTTCGTAATGCTCTGATTGATGTCAGTTCATCTCATATACTATAAATTTTAAACGTTCTGATATTGAGTTTAAATAATGTTGGGAATATTTATAACGAAATAATGTTAGGAATACTTATAACAAAATAATTTAGGGACTAAAATCCGCATTGTATTATTTTATTTTCTACAGACGGTTCATTTCAATTTCTACAGATGAATTTTATTTTGTTTTCCCCTCCTTTATACATGTAGAGCTTAAATAATGTTGGGAATATTTATAACAAAATATTGTTAGGAATACTTATAACAAAATAATTTTGGGAATAATGTTAGACGGTTCATTTCAATTACTACACCTCATCTTTGAGATTTCTATTAAGGCAAGTTTTTCACATTCATCTGCTAAATCTCATCGTTATGATAAGTGGTAGTTGGTACGAGGATCTGAATGCTCACTGTGACTAGGGAATATGTTTTCTCATAGTCAATACTATAAATTTGTTTGTAACCACTAACCACCAATCTAAATTTTCTTCATGAAAACCCATTTACACTCGATGGTTTTAAGACCATCATGTTAATCAACCAAAGTCCATAATCTGTTTACGGACATGGATTCCATTTACAATCATGCAAATTCCAGCATTTATGAGAATCAGCCATCATTGCTTCCTAAAAATACATAGGTACATCACTTTATATTATAAATAGATTAAGATGATTTATTACCCAAATCTCATATTTATTAGGTTCGTAACATGTCTTTTTGGACCTTCATATCTCATGTTTCATAGGTGTAGATTTTACAACTATTCGTAAATCTGATTGATCATTTTCCTCATAAGATAAAAAATCTCCTATATTTCTTGAATTTTTTCAAGGTATACTTTACTCCCATTGTTCTTCTTACAAAAAAGTCTTCTATCAAAAAAACACCACTACCAACAACAAACATTTTGTTCTGGTTTCTTTGGGATAACAAAGGAAATAGCATTACCAGATTTGGATCCAAAATTATCAGTAAATATAAATTTAACTTAAGCAACAATATCACAAATTTTATAAAAGACAATTTATTAAGTTTTCCAAAATATGGTGTCTTTTCATCTGATTTAGTAGACAATTGTTTAGCATAAATACAAACATTTCTAGAATATATTTTCAAAATGATAATAGAAGATCTGCATGACGCCTCATTGACCAAACCATATGTAGTAGTGTCTGGTATTTCTTTTCAGAAACACCATTCAATTGTAGGGTTTCTGGAGGAGTGACTTTTGAAACATTTTCTCTTTCTCTTAGATGATCATTAAATGTTTGCTTAAATATTTACTACCTCTTTCAGATAGCAGGGATTTCATTGCCATTCCAAGCTGATTTTAATTTGTACCACATTATGACAGTCTTTTTGAAGTTTTCAAAATATTCAGATTTATATTTCATTAGATAAACTCAACTATATGTACTAACTAGAGTTTAACCCGCACTAAACTGCGGATATTTTTTTTTATTGGCAACATAAACATGTTCATGTAGATTTTTGTAAATCAAACTGGTAAATCTGCATCCATGCAAATAGTTTTTATCAGTATATAATATTTTTCTTCACATATTATTTTAGTATATTTTATCGATATAGAATATTATTAGATGTTATGATATTAACATATTTTAATTTTTTTTTTAAAATAAAATATCTAGTTCTAGATAAAAATGTTTAGTACATGTTAGCAATTTTATTTTCTATATAAAAAGTTACAAAAATTAGGAATTTTAAAAAAGAAAATATCTAGTTCTAGTTAGATTATTTTAACACATGTCAACAATTTTATTTTTTTGTATAAAGAATTACAAAATTTATGAATTTTAAACCGTTTTAACGTGCATGATATTTTATTGAGAAAGCACTTTTTAAAAATAAAATAGGCTAATATATAAATTTAATATAATTATGGCATATTAAATTTATATAGTAAATCTATTTAAATATATTATAGGCTATAATTATAAAGTTTATAAAATAGCATATATATATATATTTGTTTTTATATGAAAATTTAATTAAAATAAATTTATACTACTATTATTATATTAATTACGAAATTAATTAATACAATATTTTACAATACATATTAAAAAATTTAGCATATTTTGTGATTGGTTGTTATTGTATTCTTGTTTAAGAAGTTTTAGCATATTTTGTGTGGTTTAGTATCTTGATAGATGTTTGTAATTCATGTCTATTTCTTATGTTAAGATTAGAAGGCAGATTTCGGTTTTTATCTTAATATATTAGATATTATCTTGCTACAATATAGGGAGTTGGATTTTATATAGTTAAGAGAATATTTTTGGAGAATATAGTTTCTCGATCACATCTATTCCTAAGTATTACTTACATAAACCGTGGTTTGTTTAATAGAAGAACCGGTTTGATTGAGATTTACAATTTCTATAAGCCGATATTACAGGATCAAGGACAAGAAGTCGTCTTCTTCAACTCAAAAGCATGAAGATAAAAAAGGTAACACAGGAACTAATACTGATTTGAAGTTATACAAAAGTACATGACATGGTCAATAGGTAATGAGACATGAACTGAGTTAGAAACATATATGCTTGAATCAATTTTGTAGAAGAAAAGCTGTACGAATTCAATAGAAAGAACTCTACATGATCTAAAGTTATACAAACGTATAAATTACACACTGATTTTCATTACATACCGTTCCTCTAGTTTCAAAAGATTCGGCTTTTTTTGAATTGTAGTGTTATTAGTCTCGTTGATGATGATTGGCAAGTATGTAGTCTTTATCGAAAATATAGTTTAAAATATAACTAGATCTTGACCCGTACAACCGTGCGAGTATTAATACGAAAGTATTTGAAATTATATAATATTCTCTCTGTTTTAAATTAGATAATATTTTAAAAGATTTATTTTGTTTCAAAATATAAGATGTTTGAGATTTTAAGATATATTTTGAGGTTTTAAGGTTATCTTTAACTTTATTGGAAACTATCCAACCAATAAAATTTTACTGTTTTTAATAATTGGTTGAATGATTTTAAAATTATATCTTTAAAAATAAATGTAAATTTCTCAATCTTTGTGCAATGATCTAAAACATCATATATTAAGTAACAGATAGAGTAAAATTTAACAATAAATAAATATAATTTGATTCTGTATACTATCTAATTTTATAATAATATTTATGTGGCTTACAATATTATTAATATAAAATTTATAAATTTGTATTTTTTTAAAAAAAAATTAAAAACATTATTATATAACATTACTAATTTATATATTAATTTTATTTCTAAATTTGAAATATATGTAAAAAGTAAATTAAGTTGGACCTACATAATATCTAAACAAAAACTTTGGATATTGTTAAAAGTGTTTTGCATAATTTTAGTTTTTTCTATAAATAAAAAAATGAATTAAAATTTTAATCAAATAATTTTTGAAAAAATATCTTGAAAATATTTAAAAAGATTTTAAAAAGATTTTGTTAGAATTTTCTTAAAACTATTTATTTGTATCTCAAATAAAACTTAAAATATGAAAAGATATTATAATGATGTTATGTAAAATTTTATATTTTTTTTTTAAAATGTAACAAACTAAAAAATCACAAATAAAATGAGTCATGACTTCTATTTTAATATAATAGATGATAGCTGCTTTATATATTTGATGTAATTGTGGTATTATTTGATATTTAATAAAATGTTGGTTGTTTAATAGTGTAGATAAAGTATTATAGGTACAATATATTTTTAATCTGTAAGGCAACTAAATAAATGGTCCAACTAAGACTTTTTTTTTTTTTGGTAAAAAACTAAGACTTGTTTATAGTAGATAAAAATATTACTCCTTCCGTTTTTGAATAAGTGTCACTTTGACATTTTTCACACAGATTAAGAAAATTGTTGAAATATATGTAAATTGTTATTAATTATACCTCTTTAACCAATAGTATTTTAGATAAATAGAATTATTTATAAAACCAATGCAGTTTGTAATTAATTTTCAGTTGAAAACAAGTACAATTTGCATTGAAATTATAAAGTGACACTTTTTATATAACAAGAAAAATGGTTATAATGACATTTATTATGAAACAGAGGGAGTATATTTTAATAGAGTAGATGCATAATTCTATTGTTTCTTAGGTCTTTTATATGTATACAAATTTGAGGATCACAGTTGGTATCTTCTTCTTTTTTTTCAGATTCCAAGTAAGAAAATGATCAGACTTGCTAGGATTTGCAATCCATCTTGGCTTATTTTTTCCTTGGTTCTTACCCTCTTATTTGAGAACAATTATTGAGTTTCAATACAATTGAAGGAAGTTAGATCCATTCAATTTGTCGTTCTAAAAAAAATCACAATGAAAACAAGTTCTTAGAAATTAACATTAATAGAATATAAGAATAATAAATATTAATATGATGTTAGACATGATCATTATTTGTATGATATATAAAATAAAAATTAAAAGAAGTAGTGAACCTACATATTTTTTAAATTTTAAACTTAATTAAAAATTATAATAACACAAAC